TACACTTGTTGACACTGTTGTCAGTCATGGCAGTTATTTTCTTTCCCTCCCTGTCTCCTTTCCTCTCTCCCTCATTCCATCATTCTCTTTCTTTCCCTCTTCCTATCTTATTTTATCTTTTGGAAGTACCTGATTTATTTTGAGCCAAGTTGTTACTAAGTTGTCCAGATTAGCCTTGAGCTTGTGCTCTTCCTGCCTCAGTCTCCCCAGTGCTGGGATTACAGATATCAAATACCACACCTAACTGCTTTTTTGCTATTTAAGTACTGAAGGGGAATCTATTGATGTCCTAACTTTTTTATCTCTGGAAAATAAAACATATTGAAATTGTTTTTACAAATGATAGTATAAAATATATTATTACCAAAGATGTAACTTTAGCAAAACTTTATTTAATTTGGAAAGTTAATCTTCAACACTTTCTGAAGTTAAAATGGCTGGACCATATAAAAGCAAAATGAAATAAAGGGGCAAGGGTACCAACACACAGGAGAGAAGAGGGGAGAAAGCAAAACAAAGATGTTTAAATCATCAATCATATTATTCTTAGGTGAATTCAATGAATTGTACCAGAGATCTAATATTACATTTGAGTCATTAGGAATTAACTCACAATTACTTTTTAACTTTAATAGGAAACCCTCAAAGAAAATGACCAAGTTGGTTAGTCAGTGATAAAGTAAAATTAACAAAAACATAAGCAAAAACAACTTCCCACACAAATAAAAACAAACAAAACCCCAAATACCCAAAAAATGTATTATCTTTTGGCCCCATAATCTTTGATTTATTATCAGTGCTCATCAGTTAAGCTAAAGCAAGTTTTACAAAGTGTTACTGTATTCTTAACTCCAATCTGAGATTTTCTTGAAACAAAACTGTTTGCCATAGTAATCGAAGAAAAAGATGGCAACGTTATTTCCCTGTTTTCACATACATATCTCACTGCATCTGCATAAGATAGACATATGAAAATAAAGTCTCCTTACTCAAGTAATTGATGTGAATGTTTTTTTAAAGGAAAGAAATTCTAAAATACAACATTTTTTAAAGATATCTTGAGAAATTAATGAAGCAAAGAGAAGAAGACAGATCCTGAATAAAGATGAGGCCATCTCTGAATTGGAACTCTTCATGGAAGGTGAATGCAAAACCGATATGATGTCTGACACAGAATGTGGAGATGCCAATCTCCACATTGCCTAAGAAACAGAAGCATCTTCTGATATGTCCTTAATTAGGATGTTTATAAATTGGTGGACATCCTAACCCTCATTTTTTATTGGCCTAGGCCCTCTCCCTGAGCTTCCTTTTCTTTTTTGTTGAGGGTGTGGGTCAATGCTAGCACTCTCCCACTTGAGCCTCAGCTCCACTCCTGGTTTTTGGTGGTTAATTGGAGACAAGAGTCTCATGGACTTTCTTGCCTGGGCTTGCTTAAAAACTCAATCTTCAGATCTCAGACTCCTGAATAGCTAGTATTACAGCTGTGAGCCACTTGGTGGCCAGCTCTAATTATCCATTTTAACACTGAATCACATATACACTTCATAAGAGATTTGCATATTCTGCTTTCAGAACATCACTTTTTCTTCATAATTATCTTTGCCAAATAAACTATTCCCTAAAATATAAGCAGAAGTAAGACTACTCTGATAAAGTGTACCACCAGGTTTTCCTGACTGGTTTCCTTTCTACTAAGGTCTGGGAAAACTCAGGATTAAGAAGAGGTACTAGAAATAGAATGATTAACAAGTTTTGGAATAAAGACTTAATGTGGAAATGCCTGTGGGTTGGTAGTATCTGAGCAATGGATCGGCCTCTAGGAAAATTGGTCCTAACCTTATTTAAAAAGAAGCTTTGAGCCATGCAGAGATTTGAGCAGCCCTAACACTCTTTCATGTTATGTAGTTAAGTGCCAGGCTCTAACCTGTGAGGTATTTTTTTAACATATTTTATTGTAAAAATACTATACAAAGGGGTTACAGTTACATGAGTAAGGTAATGAGTACATTTCCTATCGAGCATTGTTACTCCCTCCTTTGTTTTTCCCCTACCGTCCCTTCCCGTCCCACCTCCCCAACTCCTCCCTCTCTCCCGAAGCTGTAAAGTTCGTTTTCAACATAATGTCTTGTACAACTCATTGTTACAATGGGTCAACCTGTATCCTTGTTTCAGCATTTTGTTATTTCCCTTCCTCTCCCAAGTTAGAAAAAAATGTATATATAAGATGCAGGGAAGGGGAAACAAAGGAGGAGGCTACAATGCTTGATAAGAAATGTACTCATTATCTTGCCCATGTAATTGTAACCCCTCTGTACAGTATTCTCACAATAAAAAAAATAATGAAAAAAAGTTGCAGGGCACCAGAATCAAATAAAATGAAAGCAGGGGTTATACTATAGGAGAAGAAAATACAAAAGAAACAAAAAATAACATAGCACATTATAAGTACATTAAAAACTACAGCAACAAAGCACAACCATGTTTATCGCAGCATTATTCACCATAGCAAAGATATGGAACCAACCCAGATGTCCCTCAGTAGATAAATGGATCAAGAAAATGGGAAAATGTGGGATGTATGTGTGTATATATACATATATATATATATATATATATGTGTGTGTGTGTGTGTATATATATATATATATATATATATATATATATGAATTCTATTCCTCCATCAGAAAGAATGACACTGCCCCATTTGTTAGGAAATGGAAAGACTTGGAAAAAATTATATTAAGTGAAGTAAGCCAGGCCCAAAGAAACATACGTCCCATGATTTCCTTTATTTGCAATAACTAGTATATGTCTAGGACAAACAGAAAAGGTCAAAAGCTATGTACATATGACCATATAAGATGATGCTAAGAGGTAATCCTTTTGAGTCTCTAGTACTTTAAAATATCACAATCATAAGCTAGAGTGTAGCTCTAGTGGTAGAGTTCTTATCAAGCATGCACAAGGCCCTGGACTCTATTCTCAGTATCACAAATAAGATGGTGAGTTAACTATTTCTTCACATTCCATACATCTAAACCAATCATTCCCTTTATACTTGATAAATTGATTCTTTTTCAAATTCCAAGGGAAAGTAGTAGAACACTAATGACTTCCATGGAAATTCTACCTCTCCCAAGTATGCTGAATAGAGAAGAAGCAGGAAGCAGGAAAAGAAGAAAAAGGATGTAACAAAACTGACCTACAAAAGACTTTTAAGGGAGGTACAGGAGAAGGGAAGCTATATCTCCTTGCTGTTTCTTTCATTTTGGAAGAGTAATTCTATTACAAAGCTAATACAGCAGGAGAAAGTAGGCTTGCTCAACAACGACACATGCAAGTTCTGATTTCAAAGTAGCTTAGAACTTGATGGTGTGGGTAGAGGTGACATTCAATTAATCCCCATGGCTTGAATTGAAAGCAAAATTTACCTCAACTTTGTATGTAGGTTTTTCACTGTTTATTTTTAAGGTACAAATAAAGCCAAATTAAATTCACATTTGTAATCTGTACCAATTGGTGTTAAATCTTGGCACATTGTTATAACCATATGGTATTAAGGTTCTGGGAATCAACCAAGAGAGGATACAATGGACTTATGCAATGGTTCATTTCTTCATTTCATAGCTTTCTACAATGAAGGCCAGCCTGGTAACCACCCTGGGGAGTAATTTTCTTTAAAGTATCATTAGAAGCCATGAAACTTACTGTTTTCAGGGCTGTCTCTAACTCTCCATTCTAAATACCAAATACATCATTAATTTATGAAAAAATGATCATATTGAGCTTCAAAGTGTATGAAAATGATGTGTGTGTGTGTGTGTGTGTGCGTGTGTGTTTATTTTAGGAGTGGAGATAAATGCATTTCCAAAAGCTGTGCCTTTTTAACATCTGGTGTTTGGACATTATGTTCAGGCCCAAACTTTTAATTTACTAAAGGAAAAGTCCATGTAGACTGTGGGAAAAACAAACAATTTTCTAGAAATGAAGTTTGGGCCAAGCACAAAGGAAACTAAGTGGTGACCTTCGAGACAGAATCTAAGTCATGGTAATGTTGTTTGCAAGGACAAACTGGTGCTGTATAATGAGGTTATTGACCTGCACTGTTTTAGAGCAGTTTTAAACATGAGGGAGGTGCTCACTAAATCTCAGCCTGCAACATTAGCTGAGAATCCAAGACTTATCGATAAACAGCCACCATTACAGGCTCTTGGGAATCTTCATCATAATGGAAGCTATTATAATTTTGGTCAGGTACAGAGAATCAGGTAACCTATACCAAGCATCTCTTTATCACTGGACTCTCATTTACAAATGGAAGCCATTGATTAGCTGTTTTTTTTTAAACTGGCCTGACATTCCCTTTCTATCCTCATATAAGGGCCTGTGAATAAATGTGCCCTAGACTTCACAATACACACCAAAAAGGAAAAGGAATAGAAAGCTTTCACCCAAGCCAGCTTTTTTACCAAGGAAAGAAGCAATTACATGACATTTTACTAAAAATTCTTGACCCAATAAAGTACTGAAGCCCGAATGCCAGTTTTCCTCTTTCATAAAAAAGAGCAACAGAGAAAGGAAAGGTCACAGACCATATTGTGATTCTTTACAGCTGTTGGAGACAGACAGTATGATGCAGTAGCTTGATTTGAATTAAGCCAAACAATATGAAAAGCATCAAGGCTGGAAAGCAAAGCAATAAAGCCCCAAAGAATTTAATCTACCTTGAAGGTGGTACTACTTTGTATATTGATAGTAGCACACCAGGACAGAAATGAGTCCTTTAATGCAATGACTCTTCATAGCCTTAAGATCACAATATATAAACAGGGTATGTTGACCAAAAAGACAGCTTTGCCTCTGCTAGTGCAGTATGACCAATATTTCCTTACAAGTTATTTCATTGATTATAAATAGACCACGTCAATTGCAATGTACAACAGGGGAAGCGTAACCCATTATGAGGTAATGGATATTGCTAGAGGTTGCTTCATTACCTTCACTGGCTGAGTGGCTGGTTTTTCCTTGTACAAATGCTGCCCTTTAGACAAAATCCTTTCCACATCCGGTTGTTTAGCTTGAACTGCTACTTCAGTTTCCTGGGGAAAAGAACCCATACAGTGCAGATTAACTTCACAGTTAGCAATAACATTACTAAATTTAAATATACCCTTGGAGACTCCACATGTATTGCAGATCAATTTCTACATGGTTCATAGGGGACCAAAAAAAATGTAGCTTTTGATGCACAGAAAAAAAAATTGAGGCCTCTGAGAAACATACTAAAGTTGAAGTTTTTGAATTATATAATAATGTTATTAAATAAAATGCAGACACTAGTTTTCTATATTTCTAAAACATAAACTGCCCCAATATAATATATGCATATAAATATAAGTATTAACTTCAATAATCTCAATAATCCTAATGTTTATTTTCCTCTATAGATTTCTTTCACAGGATTTTATTTTGCCTTTTGGATCAAAATTTTTTTGTGAAATGAAAATCAAGTAATTATTTTCAAATTATCATCAAAATTATCTTTCTTTCTGAAGACCAAACATTTAAAATGTAGTATCAACGCTTATTATTTATTAAGCAAACAAATTAAATGGGCTTTTATGTTAAAAAATAAATTTTATTGCTTGTTTTTCTTTAGTCTCAGGAAGACTGAAGCAAGACAGAAGCATATCCTGTGAGGTATATGCATTAAAGAGTTTTGTTAGTGATTGCTTCCTAGCTTTCTTGAAGAGAGAACAAAAGCAATGTGCATAAATTGAAGCTGAAGGAAGTAAAGTTAAATATTACAGAAGACTTTTTGGATGGAACACTTGTTAAATACTAGGATAGAGTATCGATTAATCAATGTCAGGCATCAGTCAGGGCCTGGGCAATCTTCCTCAGAGAGCAGTTCTTGATTAACCCACATCTCTCTTCCTCCCTCTCCCACCCTCCAACCTTTCAGAACTGCTGCCTGTACGTGTCTTCATGTGGTTGCCTCCTTTATATACTGGGTTTCCACCTATACCCTCTTCTCAGTCTGCAAGGGCAGGAACCTTCTGATCCTACATCAGTACAATCTTATGCAACATAGTAGAGTTGTTGTGGTTTATGGATGCTCAGCACATGCTATTTAGAGAGACTAGTTCTCCAGTTCTTATAATGACTATCAAGGGAGACAGGTGGCATGATCTAAAGTATAACCTAACTATGGTGTGTTATGATTGATGAAAACAAAGAATTGGGACCATTTAAATATGATTATAGAGTGGAGGTGGGGATAGAGTCAGATGCTCTTGGACTTAGTTTACGTAAAGTGACAATGTCACCTCTCAGGAGACTGAAAGACATATAGAAATATGCAATGTTAGCATATTGGAAAAGAGTTATCCAGGAAGAGGAAAAAGTATAGAAATGGTGAAGAACTTGGCTTGTGTAATAAATCAAAATCATAAAATCTTTTTTCAACACAATCTATGATCTATCAGACATTACAAGATAGAAAACTCTCTCCCTCCCTTCCTGTCAAATTGTTCACAAGTGCAAATCCATGTAAATTCTATACCTTCAGAAAATGACCACAAATAGTTAAATAATTAATAATTGTACAAACATTTTGGGTATAATGGCAAATGATTAACAAGCTCTTCTTTTGCCTGTATCATATTCTTCAATCATAAAGAAGTTTAAGAATTCCAAAGGACAGCCAGGCGCTAGTGGCTCACACCTGTAATTCTAGTTTTTCAGGAGCCTGAGATCTGAGGATTGCAGTTCAAAGCAAGCCCAGGCAGGAAAATCCTAGAGACCCTATCTCCAATTAATCACCAGAAAACCAGAAGTGATGCTGTGGCTCAAATGGTAGAGCGCTCGCCTTGAGCTAAAGAGTTCAGGGACAGCATCCAGGCTCAGAGTTCAAGCCCCACGACTGACCAAAAAAGAAAAAAAAATCCAAAGTACGTAGCGAAAAGGTGCTATTATTCATACAGCACTGGCAGATAAACAAATTTAAGAGATTAGCTTTGATATTACAGAGAATTTCCTTAGAAAATTCATATAACAGATTTTTAACTAGTGAAAGTTTTATTGGCAAATAAGCAGAAACTGCAGCAATCGTGACATTAGGGCAGTTCACGTAGTACTCAAAATCTCATGCTCTAAGTATATAGTACTAGAAAGACTTTGAAAAATATATCAGATAAATTATCCAGATTTTGCAATGGTAGAAGTAAAAAAAAAAGTATGACATAGTTGGCTCTCTGTGACTTGAGGTTCCTAAATTCAACCAACAGCAGATTGAAATTTTTGTAATGGAATATATTAGCACGGAACATATACAAATACTTGCCTTGTCATTGTTCTCTAAGCAACACAGTACAACTAATAACAAGCATTTACATTGTACTGTGTGACAAGCAATCCAGAAATGACTTAATGTATATAAGATGTGGCTAGATTCTAAGTAATAAACACATAGTTTTCTATAAAGAACTTAAAGATTCACAGATTATGAGATCCAGAGAGGTACTTGGGACCAATCCCTGCCAGATACCAAGGAACAAAACAACATTCTCTCTCTTCAGATTACCAGCAAAGCCCTAGATTTATTTTTCTCTTGAAAGGATTTTATAGCCATATAATTTTCCTCTAAAAATATTTCTTCTATCATTGAGCATTTCATTCTATCATCACCACTGTTATCTCTTCATTCTTCAATGAAATAATGAACAACTTGGATAAGATTTACTCCCTGCCCTATAGAAATAGAGCAATAAGTGAGAGAAATTATGTTAAATTCTAGATTCTTTGTGATTACTTCTCCTTGGCACATTTTTAAAGAACTAGATCTCTAATTACATGCACCTTTAATAAATCACTTTAGAAAGACCATTTTGAAGATGAATTTGTGTAATTTACCTCACTACATTTATTTTCTGTATGAATTTATTAATAAAAAGATAGGACAGTTATTCAGGGCAAGATATTATTGCTACAAGGGTCAAATGCAGTAAAACCAATTATATTCACTTGAAATATTCTTACATAATTTTTCTTAAATGTAGGAGATAACTATCCTGAAAAATGGAAGGATAGGTGAAATCAGTTCAAAATTTTTGGTATCCTCCATAAAAATAAACTTGACTCAGGAAAGACATAAAGTGAAGCCATAAAAATTTCAAGAAACCCATGTCTCTGCAATGAAAAGAAAATGCTAAAATCCTTAGCTGTGTTGAAAATGGCAACTAACTGTGATGATAATGCTAGTTGCTATAATGACACTAACAAACTAGAGTTTCTAAATATTTACTATGTGTCAAACATTGCTCTCTTTCATGTTTGCTTTACAAAGTGATTTTAAATAATTCCACAGATGTTGGAATTGAGAGAGAGATTAGGGAAATCATTAAAATCTGAAGCTCTCAAATAGCAGAATTGAGATTTTTCCTAGAATATGTGTGTCACTAAATTGTACTACATCCTCATTGTGTTTCTGTACACTGTGTGTGTATGTGCATGTGTGTAAGTACTCATTATGGCTTCTTGTTAAAATTGACAGATTAACATGACTCAATATCATGGTCTTTGTACCCTTTAACTCTAATAAATTAGACAATATTTTTATAGAATTTAAATGAGAGAAAATCCAGTCTCTGCCACAGAAAAGGAAATATATTCTTACACTAGCCTTGAAAAATGCTCCAAGTGCTTTTCCTTTTGGTGTATGATTGCCAAAACTCTGATATCCAGGTCAGAGAATGGTTTGAGTAAACCCTTTATCTCATAAATGGCTTCACATCTCTTTATGAGTTAAGAGAAGGTGAAAAAGGCCATCACTAAAATGGAAACACAGCTAATTATAGTGGCTAGGTTTTCTAAGTACAAAGTGTTTAACTTCAAAGTATATTCAGACAAGAAAGTCTTCATGGGATTTCAACAAAAAACTCAATTCTAATAATAGAACATTTCAACTTAGGTTTTCCTCCCTGACATTCTTAATGTCCCTATAATGCAAAAGTTAAGACCTTTATGGTACAACCAGAAGTTTATTTCATCATAGTATTGATAACTGGTTACAATGTCAATTGTTTTGGGAAAACAATTTGCATTAATTAGGTAATGAGGAGTAATCCTTCATTAATACTCCCTAGGCAAATGGAACACTCCATTTTCAAATTCTATCCTCAGAGTTATTTGAAATGAAGTAATTCTATTTCAGTTATTTCTTATTAAATAGCTTTACTAATCCTGGACAATTACAAATCTGACAAGCAGAGAAAGTTAGTGATCAAAAGCAATGAATAAACAGAACTATGGAGTGCAGCATTTGTCTTGTATGACAGTATACAGACATGTGTCTCAAGCAAATTAATATATACTTGTTTTATATGAACTGATTTATAGAACATATTTATTTTCAGCTAACATTAAATTTATTTATCTGGTGAGAAATACACATGTTTGCAAGTTGAATCTTTTCAGTCAGTTTATTCATTTTGAATACATTTTTGTGCCAGTCCTAGGGCTTGAATTCAGGATCTAAGAGCTACCCCTAGGTTTTTTTGCTCAAGTCAAGCACTCTACCATTTGAGCCACAGCTCCACTTTAGACTTTTTGGTAGTTAATTGGAGATTAGAATCATATGGATTTTCCTGCCAGGGCTGGCTTTGAATTGTAATCCTCAGGTTTCAGCCTCCTGTGAAGCTAGGATTACAGGTGTGAGACACCAGTGCCTAGAATGAACACTGCATTTTAAATTCAACAGTAAATTCATAGTGTATATTTATGTGTAAAACTAGAAACTGGTATGCCTAAGGATAGTATAAAGGGAATAAATTTTGCTTTTCTTCTTTTCCTTTCTTATTTTGTTTACTAGATGTTTCCTTTATTGAGCACACTGCTAATCTTAATATGTGAATATATACACATATGTGTATATATGTATTTCCATACATGTAACAAATTTATACCTCAAACATACTATGAGAGGAATCCAAACAGCCCTTATATATATGTGTATGTACATATATATATATATATATATATATATATATATATATATATATATATATATATATTGGAAAAACATGTACCAAGGTTTCTT